AGGTATCTTAACTCCTTTTGACTGTAAAAAAAAATCATTTACAGTTTATTTTGTCAAACGTCGGTAAGTTCAATATACTATTACCATAAGTAAATGATAAGTATATTTGGCTAACCAAACTTCAATTAATGAAGCAATTATAATTTTAATATCTCTATATTTCTGAGGTGAAGTATTGTAACTATTTACACTGTTTACATTGTTGGGACTGTTGCCCTCATCTCTGTTGTCATATGCAGAACGTTTCGGTCGTTGTACGCTACGGGCTTCTTCGGGTGATAAACGTTGGAATTTCGAACCGAGCCCTTTATTTTGCCCACAGGTAAAGATTGTTCTAGTTCCACATGTCATACCTTTTCTAGATATCTCAGTTTCGGTTCTTTCTCATTAGTAATTCAACTGTCCATGTTTTTCTTCTGTTGTGGCCAGGTATTGAACTCACATCTCTTTGGGTCAAGTCATTCGATTACTTCAGCCAACGCTATTATCCACTGATCCATGGCATATTCAACTAGGAGATTCTACCCCAGTTGATGAAATAAAGGTTTCGGTTCGAAATTCCAATGTATGTCACCTGAAGAAGGCCGGAGCAAACAACAGCCGAAATGTAGTGAAAATGACAATAAAGATGAGGACAACAGTTCGAACATAATAATAATTATAATTTTATAAATTAAATGCAATTAAAAGACATCAATTTTACAAACGTGACAATTATAATATTATTGGGTTTGAAACGCTGAATTAATTATATTTATCCAAGCATACAGATTACAAAAATTGTGAAATTGCAAAATTTTTTGTCATATCCAAATCACTCTGTAACATTGTTCTGTCGGCGATGTATCCCTCAGAAAGGCAATTCTCACACCAAATGTAGCCTCCGACCAGGGGAATGTTTGCACACTCAGGTACAAAATCGACCAATTTTAAACGTTCTGATTGGAGTTTAAAATCGAGCATTTGCCTTCCATTTACAATCAAACGCAAACCCGACCTCAGTCTACCTATTCACTGTGATTTTTTCCCCTGAGACCTATATTTGATGTTAAACAGCCCGAGAATAATTGAGATGTTAAATTATCCAACCTGAACAAACACAATGACAATTTTATTGTAAATATTGGGCTTGCGAGAGAGATTTTCTGTGGCCTATTCTGTGGAGTAGGCGCTCGCTCGACGTTTTAGAAGCAAAGCAGAGCCGCCAGAGTGAATAACCAAAATCAGGATACCAACCCGACAAAATTTGAATAGATGCTTCTGACAAGAAGTAGTAGCAAAATTTACACAGCATATGAGACCACAGAAATTGTCGGAATTCCTGTAATGAGTTAAATGCAGTTATGGCAAATATTGAGGCCAGTTTACAGAATCGAAATCACGAACCTCTTCAAGAACCTACAGAATGCAACTAACTTTTAATTGTTACTGTTTCCCTTGCGAGACAAGCAAAGAGATATATAAAACCTGGCGTCAGTTTACATTATTTACATTATTAGGACTGTTATCCTCGTCCTCATTTCGGCTGTTGTACGCCCGGCCTTCTTTAGGTGATATACATTGGAATTTCGAACCGAACCCTTTATTTTGTTCACTGGGGTAGATTGTTCTAGTTCTACGTGCTATGCCTCTTGCGGTTGTCTAAAGATACGTCCCTTTAACTCAACTCTCCACGTTTTTTGGTTCACCACTGGTGTAGCCTAATAGTGTCTAGTCACCGGATCTAACGAACGCCTTTATCCACTGGGCCATGTCAGTGGTGAAATTGTTATGTAGATTTAAGTTAGTCTACGTTTTAAAAACCAACACAGAATTCATTACAGCAAACTAAATCATTCTTATATTATTAGTGAAAAAAACAAACAGCTTTTCTGAAATATCTTCTTTGAAGAACTGAGGTTAAATCCCAAGTCTGGAGATGAATACGCGTGAATCCAACGGGGTATACATAGTGATGTAGACAAAATTTGCATAATCTGCGGGCTGTCAAGTAGCGAGAGCAAGATCGTGCCGACCCACGCTCCGCCGAACCATCGCCAGACCAATACCAGAGCCTCGTTTTGGAAGCAGGAAATAGCGCTTAAGCCGTGGATTGAAAAGCTGTTCATACAATCACCAGCAGGAATTGGCTCCCTCAAAACTATCCTACGTGACCTGTATGTAATTCACCGACATATTGGCACTCGCAACGAGTGAATTCCCGGGACAATTATATCTTGGACGGGTCAATCACGAAGACCGACGTGCTGTCTAACAATACCAAGGACAATTTGAAAGCCTACACCTGGGATGGAATGAAATAAATGAACGAAAAACCATTTGATTTGTGAAAGTAATCTCTCCTAAGATCACACTGAATACGCTTTCGAGAGCGGGGACGGTTTTATTGAATACATTTTTCTATGTTGAAGATGTCTACATTTTTTTTCTCCTTTAAAAATCATCATCTAGAGCACGATATGTGTTACCCAGAAAATATTCTAATTTGTCATTTACCTAACGAGCTATTTATATAAAACATTTTAATCCAAACGTCCACCAATGACAGTAACGTGAAGGCTGTTTTTTAAAAGACACCCCATCGTTGAATCATATCCACATTTCTTTGACCTCAGCTTACAATTTCCGAGATGTTCCCACAATACAACTTAGAGAACAAAAGAAAAAAGGAACCCATTTAAAATGACTAATCAATTAGTCGAAAGCGCTTAGGACGATAATCAAATCGGACAGTTTATATATATATATATATATATATATATATATATATATATATATATATATATATATATATATATATATATATACTAGTGTACTTGTATCATCAAAATTGACAGCAAGGAGGAAGTATTATAAGCAATATGTGTTATATTGTAAGCAATTTTCGTTTTATCCAAGTACTTTTTTCTGTGTAACAATTGAGGGGAAGTGTTTAAACTAACGATATCCCAGTCACCAAAATTAAGTCATATTTGTTTTTGAAAAGAACTTTAGTTAAGTAAAAATTATGAGAAGCAGACATAAGTTACTGGCAACATTAGTCGTATTTTACTTAATTTTATAGTCAATTAGGACGAAATAATAAATAAATCTAATTTAATTACGTATGTGAGAAACTGAAATGTTTCTGTGTGTTTCCAATTTTTCAGAAACACGTCGGTGCTTCTTAGTAGAAACAATGGACACAAGAAATGGTTAGAATTTAATTCTTACTGTGAAGTGTGCGAGATATCTTTGTAGTTTTAAGCACGGTAGCTTTTTTGCGTATGGACGGGAATGGGGCGTTTACTTCTGTGAGTCCCATGTCCAATTATATATATATATATATATATATATATATATATATATATATATATATATATATAGTGAGTCTTACTAGTCGAGATGCAGCCGCATTGAAACAAGAATGCAGCTTTGTAGTGAGTAAGTAGTTTTTTGTCCGTATATAAAACTTATAATAATTAATTATTGCTCTACTCTTAGTATCGAGCCCTGTTTTGATTTAATGCTATGAACGTTAGAATTTATATAATTTTAGTTCTCATTATATATATATATATATATATATATATATATATATATATATATATATATATATATATATACGAAACTCAATTTAACGTTGTTTGCACGTTAATTTGAAGCACTTTTTCATGGCCTAGAAACATCCAGTATAATACAAAATTATTGTAAATAAATGTAAATACACAATATATCTATGTGTAGTTTATTTTTAAGTTAATATGTAACTTTAAATAAAGCTTGAAAGTTAAATTCAGAGTCCGTTGGTTCCGGGAGCATTAACTGGAAGTTTTTCTAATATATGTTCACAATTAAACCACGAAGTTTCCTGTGTCGTTTAGATATGTAAATACACCGACAAACCTCTGCATGTTAAATACAATGTGGAGGCGTCAGGAGAAATCAAATTCGGAATAGTTATATAAAAAGAGGATAAAGAAAATACTAAAAAAATAGTTGTTCATGATGTATTTTCGTCACTATCACAAAGAATGCCTGTTGTATATAATCGTTTTGTTTCTCATTTAATGCGCGTGCGCACACAGACAGTCTTCCTGACATCCACGAATCCACGTTTGAAGACGTTCGCATACGAAAAGTTGTACAATTATGCCTTTTAAGCAATATAGGCGTCGAAGTACAGACACAAATTCTCTTTGAAATATGCATCATTAGGATCATAAATATCTCTTGATACTTATGCTTTACTGAAACGAAGCAAATACTTACAGAAGTAAGCCATTTTATGAGGATACATAAGTGTCAAACGCCTTTTATATTTGGAAAAATTAGCTATCATTAAAAACAAGTCTAGTTTGATTAGGCTTTTTCCTTTTACAATATGTCGACTGCTTCTGTTGTCATATGCACCGAGTTAACAGTTAGTGCTTTGATTTCAAATTCTCGACTTATGGTGAGGACATTTATTGTAGATTCCAACAAATATTTTCTTTCAAATGTAGTTCACGTTCTCTTTGCCTTTTGACACGAGTAGCGTATAAGTAATCAGTGAAGAAAGTGAATTCGGACAGCTAAATTCGAATTTAGATTTATGGATTAAAAAGGATGGAGAGTAGAATATCTGGTCTTGGGCAGAAGATCAGAAGATGGAAGATTCTGAATTCAAAATCCCGAAGAAGGAAACGGGAAATCGTTCCGCTATAGCACCCAAGAACTCCTGACAATTTATAGATATACGGTTGATTCGTCTTTTACGGCTTATCAACCTATTGTAGGTTATTTAAAGTCAGAAAATATATTCATATAAAAAATTTTTCTTTTTTCTTTTAGATAATAATCATTTAGTGAGATATACCGCGTGTAATTAACCCACAGCTGGGTGGAGAATAGGTGAAATCATACTTTTCCCAAAGTTAGATGCGCGTAAGTGGATATAACGAACCCAACGGGAATTGGAACTCCGCTCTCCGATTAACAATTCCGAGCCATTATTTGTTTATATCACCTGCACATCCAAGCTTGCAGCTCCTGGCATTCCCAAACGGTCACCCATCTAGGCACTGAGCTGGCTCGACGTTGCTTAACTTCCGTGATCGTACGGAACCGATTGATAGATGATAAAGACAGATGGATTTATCGATATTTTGTGCGTTATTTAAAGCTGAAATATATTTTACGTCTGTGAGATTTTTTTTTGCAAATGAATATTGTATTAAAATTTTTTCATACATTTCCTAAGGATAGTTACGCCTAAGTAAGGGTATTGAACCCGACAGTGATTCGAACTTGTCTATCCTATGTCTCATTCCTAGCCTCTCTCCAATACACTACCCATAAATCTCTAATAGAGCAATTCGAATTTTTTAAAAAACCGTGAAGAAAGAAAAATGAAAGTGCTGCACTTGTTCTTGTTTGAGGTGTCGTATCACTTCAGGAAGTGGTCGAACTTGCATTTTCCCCAACTTCCTATCCTTCCCATCTCCTGTTTTGACATCTATTTATACAAGCTGTTTGTGTAGGTTACTCGTGGTGTAGAAACATTCGAAAGTACTCGTAAAAGTAATATTAAAAATATATATATATATATATATATATATATATATATATATATGCGTGTGTGTGTGTGTGTTACAGATAGTGAAAGAAAGTGAAAAAGAAATGGCTGGATAAGCTTCCTACGAATAAGTTTCCTCCAAAAGGCGGATGCCGATGTCTTATTGCTAACTCAATCACGGTATACCTGAGTAAACTCGGATTGACACCAGCAGGAAAGAGGAAACATCTTAAGAGGTTCCGAGATTGTGCAGAGTGTCCATCTGCTACGATTCTGGCATCCGCATACTGTGTCACAGGAAGCTAAGCCTAACGCCAAAATATGTCAGGGGTGCTGTAAAGTACTCGATTCGACAAACTTCTCAATATCCTAATATGTAAACTTCGGCATATTGATTTTAGCATGATTTGAAGGTCGATAAACATTCAGAACCCCCACCAATTCTCATTCATATATAAACTGGATCTGTATAAGAGCTAATTGCGTTAAAATAAGATTGCAGTCGATAAACACAATGTGTAATGTTACTTCAATTCTCTCAATGTTATCTTTTTATCTTACTGAGTAATAACATGTGAATATTTTAAATTCGGACAGGAGAGGACCATAGCTATTCGTAGGATATCGCTAATCAGCTCTGCTGATATATTTAATGAAGTTGCAGTCTTAGCCTCGAATAATACAATACGTAATAATAACAAAAATAATACTGAACTCAGTTCTTCTGTATGGCAGTGAGTACTTGTCAGATATCTCACAGGTGAAGAAGAAAGTGGAATCAACCATTCTACAAGAGGATCCTGAGAATACTATGTTCTGAATCTTTGAGCAAAGATGAAGTTTTAGAAAAAAATTAAAGAAATACACATTTTCTGTTCACACATAACAAAAGGGACACAAGAGACAGTTGAAATACTTTACATCGTGAGCTAAGAAGGATTGGAAAATTTGACACTGATAGGATATATTGAAGGCAAGAAGGACAAAACATTGCATGAATTACCTAATGAGCTTGTGTAAATGAATGTCGGAACAAGGTTTAGGTGAGAAAACAAAATTTTCCGAGAGCTAGAAAGGACAGGGCATTGTGGTGAGCCATGAATACTAAGGTCTTGAAAGGACACGTCACATAGATGATGAAGAATACTTCCGCTACTTGCTTTCCATGAGGAAGTTAAGTCATTATTGAAGGGAATTATTTTCGATTTCCATTTACATATGTAATGAGTTTTCTAAATTTAATTTTCTACCGATGTCATGGACTTTTCTCATAATAATAGACACTTCTGTCAATAAGAAAGTGAATTAACTCAGCGAATGCGTCTGTAATTGTTACGGTAATATTCGTCTGTGGGACGATCATAGTGCGCCAAAATAATTTCATATAATTTTGGCATTCTTATATATCCTAAAAATTCTACTTTCCATGATTTAGATACAACAGACCCTATGCCTAGGCTCATAACCTGTGGAATATTGTCCATAGTTCAGTGTAATTGGCAAAGTTCCCAATTGTAACAACAGTAAAAGAACAGGGCAAAATAACACAAAATGATCCAATGTAAGCCAAAGCAAAGCAGCCATAAGACCATCAGTCAGTTAAGCGCCATACGTGATACACGCTTGGATGATCATGTATATTTCGATCCTTGACTGATAAGGCAAAAATTTTCCCGAAGTGGTTTGCTGTTTCTTTCTGCGGCAGACTGGTTGCCAACCAAGGCTAGACGACTTCGTTTATCCTGCAATAGGCAGAAGAGATGAATTCCTATCTTTTCCAAAGGTATTTTCGCGTAACGAACCCGATTGGAATTCGAACTCGGCTCTCCGATTTCTCATTTCGAGCCGATACCCATTACATCACAACGCACACACTAAAACTAAAGAAAAGTTAAATTTAAAAAAATAGAGACAATATTCATAAGCAAATGGTATACAGTCAAGTAGTTATAGCCTTCTAAATACATTGAAAAAAGTGGCCATCTTTATTGACGAAAAAAAAAAAGAAGAAAAAAAAAGGTCCCAGCATGCACTCCTAGAATTTGGCTATAAATTTAGGGAGAACGTAATTTTAGCAGGCATTCCCAGATATTTGAACAAATATAATTATTATAATATATCCAAAGGCGATACGCTGTCGTTTAATTGTATAAAAATAGCTGTACCAAGCCGATTTATTATTCCTAAAATACGCTGTTCACATATGCGTAAGCTATGAATATATGTAAAAATACACGTATTAAAGATTTAGGTATACGTATATTTGATATAAGGAATAAGAATGATTTAGAACTGTTTTAAATCGCCAGGTATTGCAATTAGTTTTAATTTTATTAGTCGTAGTCCTAGAAAGCGTCCCAGTGTTTATAATCCGGTGACATTTAAATATTTCATTTTAGTTGTTGTTGATATCGGTTAAATGTCTCGTGTGTGGACATTTCAAACTAATTTTTACACGTTTTGCAATTCTGTATCTTGCAAACGAAGCAAATGCCATTTACTCCCATTTTCCGGATTTTTTTTTGTTTTTGACAATTCGTAATGCTTTGAATAAATCCTTAAAAATTGTATATATTTATTTACATGTCTTTACATATCATGTCTGTAAATATTCATGGTTTGAAATAATGAATACAAAAACCAACACACGCACAATGAGAAGCTTACCAGTCTGGACACTCTTTTTTTTCTCTTAAAATCAAAACTATTTATCTCGGTAATCATAAAAATTAATAACAATATCCTTTCACTAACGCTGGTATTTGTCGTGAAATAGGCTGGATTCACACAGGCTATGAACTCAATATGTCAGAACAATAGACAGAACGAGTAACATGTCAGGGTGCAGCCGACTCTGCGCATCATTTCGAGTTCTATATTATATGTCATCATGTGAAGGAAGTTTGTTGGAAAGTAGTCCTTTCCCAGATGATGGGGGTGTGGCCATTACGTTGAAGCGCTGGCCCAGTGCCTGTTGGTAGGGTCGGATGAGATACGTTAGCGGGGTCATGTAGCGTTTCGATTCATGATCGCCCAAGCATATTAATGTCTAAGTAAATGTAACGAATCCAATTGGAATTTTAATTCGGCTCTTCGCTTTCTCATTCCGAGGCGTATTCCATTACACCAGGCACACATCGCAGCTTACGGCACCTGTTATTACCAAGAGTTCGCCCATCTAGTTACACACCAAGCTTAATATTATCTTCGGTGATCTGACGAGCATTTCCAGTTGAATTTAATATAAAATATCAGAATTTGAATTATATTTCCTTCCTGATTACCTAAATTCTTATCTGAATGAAACAGATAAATACATGTGAAAACAACTCTTTTCGCAAAAATGGACAACGGTGTACCGTAATTTACACTATTTACCCCCAGACCTCCAGGGTGTCACATCGGGTCACAACCGATTCGAAAATTGTTCTTCTCATTATTTACACTTTTTACCTTCGGACTTTATTCTGAAGGTAAATTCTAACTCCGCTTAGCTTAGGTTATGTTATATTCACTTAAATATGGGCGCATGGTTAGAACATTCGCTTTCTGACCATGAGACTCGGACTCGAAACATGCCACAGTCGATTTGTCAGGAAAGCGACTTCTTGGTCTCTTCGGTCTGGAGGAGGCGATCGCAGTGCCTGAAAACCATACCACGGGTTGAACCAAGCCTTGTGAGCTAAATTACGTAGACGTTGGTGATTGTGCCAGCATGATGTCACAAGTCATCGTGACCGAGGGTGCTAGCCTTGTTCCGACTACTGATCACGCTATTAACGCGTACTCTCCCAGAAACTGTAACGAAGGTCGGTTCAGCATAGTTGCAGTATAAACCACAGTCGGGCTCTGTGGGTGTTGAAATGTGCCAGAGCAGATGTATGCAATGGGGATCAGCTAGCAGCCTTAGTAGACTGGCATCCTCGGATTCGAGTGGCTGTGCAATTTACTTGACATATTGTTATACCTGAACGTACCTATTCTATTATTAATAGACTCTCCCACACATAATCAGTAGTAGTAGCGGTCGCCAGTTGAGCTCAGTGGAGTTGAGTGAATCAGTCAATGTCGGACATTGAAGTATCAACCATCACAACTAGATTGCTGCGTCATTAATTATTATTTCAAGTTCCTAACGTTTTGTACGTCGAACCTAATTTAGGACGACTTAGTGAAATACCAGCCTCCACTGTGAAAACTACTCTACAACACATATTCACTTTAATAAATCAAATAGAGATCTTTCTTCATGGTTTACTTAGAATGTATATAATGATAACTTTTCATCACAGAAATTCAAACAAAATTTTACCGACACTGTAAAATATGTTGTGTTTCTTTTATCGTAATTTTTAATAAATTGGTGTTCATCTTTTAATATATTTAGGGGGTGTGGTCCTTTCGACATATTAATTCCCAACCATTTGCAAATATTTCTCTATTGGTTCTACTAATTTTTTTCCCGATACAAGGTCCAAGAGCAACTCAAGGCTGAGGATTACTATATGAGATTTCTGTATGAACGTAATAGGTGGAGGCTACAAGTGCAGTTT